CTTTTTTTAAGACATAAGTATTTTTTTAAAGATTTTACTTATTTATTTTCAGAGAGGGGAAAGGAGAAAGAGAGGGAGAGAAACATCAATTTGTGGTTGCCTCTCCTGAACCCCCTACTGGGGACCTGGCTCACAATCCAGGCATATGCCCTGACTGGGAATCGAACCAGCGGCCCTTTGGTTTTCCACTGAGCCACACCAACCAGGGCTGCCACAATTTCTAACTAAGAGGAAGGAGGAGGGAAAAGGGAAGGATTTGTCTCCTTTTTTAAAGGCTAAGTCATCTTTATGGCTCAGTTATAGCATATTTTGTCATTGTGTGGCCTTTTTCTCTGCCAGCACCAACCCCTGATTGCAAATCTAATTGTAGGAAACTGCCCCCTTACCCACCATGGGTGACCCATTTTTACTATTTTCTCAACACCCTTTCCCCCTTCTGATAAGGACAACTCTCTCTACTATTGGAAACAACCCTACCCCACCCCTGATTTCATAGGTCTCTGTGGGAGAGGGGGAAGGGGAATACCTGACCTCTTGCTCCTCCTGACCCCACCTGTAGGGAAGTGACCCAGGCTGGGCCAATCAAAAGCTTTTCTTTTAGACCCTGGGTAGTGTGGATCCACCCTAGCCCCTTTGAGGCCACTCATCACCACATCCACCTTGAGAAACCTACAAAGATAAAGAGTAAGACAAAAAAGAAAGAAACAGATGGGGTGTTCCCTGACAACACTGTTTGCAACTCTGGCTCCAACTCTCAAATGTTGTGATGGCCATGTGCACCAAGACAGTCCCTTTTTTGCTTAAGCTAGAATGCTTTGTGTTTTATTACCTGCAACCAAAAGGGTCCTAGCCAACAAAGTTATGCACAGCATGGTTTAGTAGGCAGGTAGTCAGGAGGTCTGAATCCAGTCCTATTTCTGTCACCTGTTAGTTCCGTGTTCTTGAGCAAGCCACATCCTCTTGCAGGACCACAGCTTTGACGTCATTAAGAGAAGTACAGTATGCAGAAGAGAGGGGAGGGCCCCACAGTCCACAGGGTGGGACTGAATCGCAGTTGAGAGCCAGGTTCCACTCTCACAGTCTCTCTTAAGAGTATGCATCAGAACTGTGAATGATAGACCTGAGAAGGGTAGCCATGTCTCCTCTCCCCCATGTCTTCTCTTTAGTCTGTAAAATTTCCCTCCACATGCCAGGTATCAACAACCACTCGGGGGCCTCCCAGCTTTGTTTCTCCAATCTGGACTCTCCCTCTAGATTCAGATTCCCATAATCCTAGGAGACATCTCCACTGGTTGGTCCCAGAGACCCTGCCAACTCAACCAATACTGAACCAGTATCTGCCCCACGTTTTCTAAATCAGGGAAAAGCACAGCTAGTTACCCAGCACCCCCTCCCAGGCCTGAAAGCTGGAATTTACACTGGAGCCCACCCCACTTTTCACTCTACATCTGATATCATGAGAATTCACCTTGCTCCATTGCTATTCCAGTTTCCTTTTTGGACACCCATCATTCATCTATGTTCTCCTGCCTCATGAATTTAAGCCTCATCTGTACATGGATAATTCCCAAATTGAGGTTGGCAGCCCAGATACCACCACTGAACTCCAGGTTCATATACACCAACTGCTTCTAGGACATACAACTGGTGTCTCACAACTGATATATCCACAGCTCAGAGACTGCCAGTGTCCTAAAACTGCTTCACTTAGAGCCTTCTCCATCTCAACAATACTACTTCCTACAAGCCAGAAATCTTGGGATTGTCCTGGATTCTTCTTCTATCTTACCCAACAACCAGTCTTCAGCAAACCCTACTGGCTCTACCCTGAATGTTTTCTTCAAACTGTATCCCAAATCTGACCACTTATTCCTCCACACCACTGCTACGTGCTAAACCAGTATCCTCTCACTTGCAAGACTGCATTAGCCTCCTGCCCGATAGTCTCTCTGCTTCAACCCCTTCCCCTTTCAGACTGTTGTCCACAGAGTGGCCATGGAGATCTTACTGAAATCTACATCAGGTTACATCATTCCTCTGCTCCAAGACCTCCAGTGGCTCCCCATGACTCTCCACCATCTGCCCCTGTGACCCTCCTGACCCTCGTCCCCTATTGCTCTCTCCCTTCCCCCCTGGCCACTAGTAACACTGGTCTCCTTGCTGACCCTAGAACACTTCACTCAAACTCCCACCCCAGGGTGCACAGGGTTTTGCCTACAGTGCAATCATCCCAGATATCTGTATGACTGAACCCCTCACTTCTTTAAGGACATTACTCAAATGTTACTTTTACAGCTAGGCTTTCCATGACCACCCTACATAAAATTCCAACCACTCTCCAAGTTCATATCCCAACACTTCCCATCCCTTTCCCAACTTACTTTTCCCCTCTAGCACTTATCACCAAGTGATAGAAAACACATTTCATTTGTTTTGGGGTTCTTTTTGTCTTTCTCCCACTGAACATATGCCCCTCGAGGGCAAGGCTTTGTGTTCATTTCCTGCTATACCTTCAGTGCCACACAGGACCTGACAGTGAGTGATTAGCATTTCCATAATCTGCTACATAAGATTTCCCAATTCCAGTCCATTCGACACATTACTGTAGAGCAATCATTCTCAAATGCCAGTCCCATCCTGTAGCTCACCTGATGGAAATCCTTCTGTGGTCCCTACAACTAGGATGACCACATAATTTCTCATCCAAACCAAGGCATTATTGTGAGTTGAAGGAGAACGTTATTAATAATTATCCCAGCCCTGGGTGGTGGAGCTTAATGGACTGAGCACGGGCCTGCAAACCAAAGATTCACTGATTCAATTCCTAGTCAGGGCACATGACTGGGTTATGGGACAGGTCCCCAGTACTGGGTGTGCAAGAGGCAACCACACATTGATGTTTCTCTCCCTCTCTTTCTCTCCTTCCCTTGCCTTCTCTCTAAAAGTAAATAAAATCTTGTAAAAAATAATTACACTGGCCCAACTGGCAAACCAGTACCATTTTATGCAAATGAGACCACACAGTCCACGTCACATAGCACAAATGGTTGTTTAAAATGCAAAATTCCAGGCTCCACCTCAAAAGCAGATGGAGTAGATTTATGGGGGACCTAAGAATCTAAATTTGATTCCAGTACTGGAGGTGATTCTGTGGCAGGTTATACAGAACTATACCCCCAGAAGCATTGTGCCACAGGATAGTCATAATTCCCTAGGAAAGCACACACGCCCCTTTAAGATCTGGCCCCTGCCATCCTTCAAGTCTTTTCCTTTACCAAGTTCCCCACATCCAGCACCACCTGTGTGACTGCACATTCCACTCCAATGACCTCAAAACCCTCCCCACCCTGTCCTCTGGCTAAGTTCTCATTATTCACCATTCAGTTCAAATGTCGGCTTCCTCAGAAGGCTCTCACTTACTGCCCATACTCATCAATTCCCTGACCACTAACAAATCAAGTACCCCACCTCCATATACCCACAACGTAGTGAATCACAACTGAGGCTGTAAGCTTTTTCCAAACTACTAATTCCTGGGCCACTCACCAAACTCCTGAATCAGAAGCCTCAGAAGTGGCATCTGGCCATATAGAGTTCTTTTGAAAAAGCTTCTCAGCCCTGGCTGGTGTAGCTCAGTGGATTGAGCAAGGGCCTGCGAACCACAGGATCATGGCTCGATTCCCAGTCAGGGCCCATGCCTGGGTTGCAGGCCAGTTCCCAGCAGGGGACTCACGAGAGGCAACCATACATTGATGTTTCTCTCCTTACCTTCCTCTCTAAAGATAAATAAAAAATTTTTAAAAAGCTTCTCAATGATTCCCACACAACCTATCAGAGTGCTTCCATGTTCACCCTACCCTAGCATTTATCACATTCAGTTTAAACTGCTGGTTTGTCTTCTCCACTCAACTGTAAGAGAGCAAATATTCTGACTCTCCAAGCCCTCAGACACTACAGAGTATTCATAAGTGCAATTCTGGCCATTCTAAAGTCCTGTCTTAGCTGTGATTAAATATCAATGAAGCTAATAACTTGGGTGATGAATGTATTAAAATACACTGCAATTACACTGGGGTAGAAACAAAGGAAGTGTTTCTTGTTGTTCCCATGCCTTTGGAAAGTCCCAAAAGTTCTGTTTGGTAGTGTGACTAAGCCAGGCAAGAATGAACGTCTGAACCTGATGGAGTTGTCTCTCTTGCCTAACTGCACTCTCTTGTCAGTGAAATGGCCAAGAGGTGGTAATACTGGATATACTGGAAGTGGGATAACCCTTTCCTTGCACGGGGGGGGGGGGGGCACTAGGGCAGCCCTCCCATTTCGACAAGGTCAGTTTATGCTTGTAAGGGATGAATCTTAGTTCTGAAACTGCGTAAGAAGCAGGAGGCTCTTGTGTTCATGGAAACAACAAACAGGTACCTTTCAAGCGTGGAGAACTGAAAGTAAACGATTGTGTTCTGCATCAAGAGCACTATGGCCATTTTCCACCCCAGTTTTTCAAATCAGAGTACCTTTGCCTCCAAATGAACCAGTCGCGACTCCTGCCAGGTTCCACCCCCCCCAGTCCCCATTCCCAATCCCAACATCGCTGTTGAGACCCCAAGCATAGCGCTGTTGAGATATGTTGGTCTTTAAACCACTGGAGGCAAGGTTACGCTACAAGAAGAGAGCCCGGGTGAAATGTCTTCTCCAGTGATTTGTGGCTAGAGCAATGTCAGCCCAAACGTAGCAGGACGTGGAACTGGAAATGGTTTGACATCTGCAAAGCCCCTCAAGGGTGTGGGGAGCTTCCGAGCGAAAGGTGGAAATGAGCCAGGTGAGGAGTCGAGGATGTTAGGGAGGGGGTTCGGGACCTCCAGATGTGGGGGACCCGGTAGGGGGCCAAGGAAGGGGTCGACATACACGGGCCTCTGACTGGCGCGCGCAGAGAGGGCGGCTGAGGCTCATGAGGGGCCCTCGGGAGTCAGGTCGCGGGAGGCCTCGGCGGGCCGGGCCCCGCTTACCTGTCCAGAGTCTCCACGCTGGGCTGCCGAGAGCCGGCGGCCGGGACCCCCGGGACCCGAGGAGGTCTCCAGCCCCCTGCCGGCCCCGGGCCCGGGCCTGGGCCCGGTCCCCCAGCGCCCTCGCTGCCCGCTGCTGCTGTTGCTGCTGGGCGGTCCATGGTGCGGCGAGACCGGTGCCACCGCGGGGAAGCCGCAGTCGGGAACAGATTGGCGCCCGGAAGGTCCCGCCGCGTACCTCCTGCGGACCGATCTGCGGCCGGCCGGCTTAGGCGGTCGCCGCCATTAGCTGTCACCTGGCGGCACCGCTTACCCACAAGGCCGCGCGGGCGCGCGCGCGCGGATGAGGGGTAGGAGTGGCGGGTTGCAAAGCTGGGTGCAGCGAGGGCGTCTAGGGCTCGGCGCATAATTGCTGCTGGGCCCTGCGCCGGCCCTGCCAACCTGCCCAAACCCACGTGGACTCGCCCGCAAAACCAGAAGTGGGTGCAGAGGCCCTCTAGCTTCAGAAACCTGGACAACGCCCAAGCCATTTGGGGTCGAAATCTACAGATGGATGATGCAGACTTGCTTTACTCAGGAAACTAACAGATTGACTATGGAGATGTAGGTTTTTTAACAAGTTCAAGGAATTTCAAGAATTAAAAATGATTTTTTCCCCTCAATTTTAACAAAATACTTTTGGACTGGGAAAGTTCAGGCCGCTGGGCGTCCCTGGTCTTGAAATGTCCAGGCAGTAGAAATGCCATACATTTTAGCAATTCTTCCCCATCCCGTTATTCTTCTCTCATAAAACCCACCTCCTGCCATGTGTGGGGCAACCAAGTGTTCTGATGCCGCTCTGAGAACTTCCACCCTTGTTTCAATATTAAGACTAACACTTAACTTCTGTTCGTTAAATCAGTGCTATGAAAATCAAGCCAATATCTAATGCTGGACTAGACTTAATTTCCCTGCTCACTTCTAGGGTTCATTCCCTGCCACCTCATCCCTGATTTTCTTAGAAATCATGACTAAGCCCCTTCTCCAATGATTGCCCTGGGTGTAGACAGCAGACTTATGACCCTTATAAAAGGCAGACCTGGAGACATAAAATTCCCATTTCCTATCCCAGACCCATGCTGCCTCACCTGCTTAAAAACTTCATACTGAACCTTGCAGATATGATGCCTGGGGCCCCAGCAGCCATATTACACACAAGAGGAGGTGAGCCTGGAGTGAAAAGGCAACAGGATAAAGAGCACTGAGGGGAAGGAGGGGAAGAAGATCCCTAGACACACTGGAAACCTACCTTCTGCTGGGTTCTGGCTTTCCAAAATTATTAAGTCGAATATTTAACCCACTAATATAGACTGACTGTTTGTGTCTCCCCTCCTCAAATTCATACATTGAAGTTATAACCCTCAACTGATGATATTTGGATATGAGGACTTTGGGTGGTGTTTAGATCCTTAGGATGGGCCCTTGGTCTGATGGGATTAGTGTCTTATTGAGAAGAGACACCAAAGAGATTGGTTTCGCTTCTGTCCATGAGCAGGCATGGAGGAAAGACTTCTGTAAGGACACAGTGAGAAGACAGCTGTTTGCAAGCCAGGAAGAGGGCTCTTACCAGGAACCAAACCTGCCCAGAACCTTGATATTGAACTTCCTAGCCTCCAGAACTGGAAGAAAATAAATGTAGTTTAAGTCCCCCATCTGTTGTATTTTATTATGGCAGCTTGAGTATACCAAGACACCCATTTCGAGTCAAGTACTTAGTTACAAGGAGCTGTAAGCATCCTAGCTGCCTTGAGATTTGTCAGAAAGAAATTGGTAAATTTTAAGCATATTGAAGTACCCCATTATTTAAGGAGGATTAGGCCAAAGAGGAATTCACTATGACAATATAAGACTTTTAATTCAGTTAAGCAAATTTAGGACTTACACAAAGATAATCTGACATATCCCTGTCTAAGAAGTTCACAGTCAAGTGAAGGAGACAGACAAATTAACAATGACAATACAGGTTGGTAAGTGCTATGATGGAGGCAAGCACACAGGTTTGGAAAACACCCAGCCCAATCATTGAGAGAAAGAGGGTTAGGAAGACTTCTTAGAAAAGGTAACACAAAGCTGAATCTTAAAGGAAGAGTAAGTCTTTGATCAGATGAAAAAGTCAAATTGTTTCAGGCAGAAAAAAACAGTTAGTGGACTTAAGCGTAGAGTCAGTTAAACAGCTTATAATGTGTAAGGGAACTCCAAGAAATATATTGTTGCTGGAGTATGGAATCACACAAGACAAATGAGGAGGTCGACTAAAAGCTAGGTTGGCCAAGACATGGAGCATCTAGAATGCCAGACTAAGAAGTTTGGACTTTGTTCTGGATTCTGATGCTGGCAAGGCTTACTGCATTTGGAGATATACAACTATATGTTCCCTCTGTGATATATGGTACCTCCAAAGACAGTTTCAGTAATACCCCTATCCTACATGCTCTTTTGTAATGTGATCTTGAACTCCCACATAAAAAGTCGCAGCCTATGTCCCTTCCTCTAAATGTGGACTGGCCCTATAACCTCTTTTGAATGTGGCAGAAGGGATGCTAGGTAACTTCCCAGGCTAGGCCTTAATGTATCTGCAACTTCCACCTTGGCTTCTAGGAATACAATATTTCTTGCAACCCTGTGAGGAAGACAAACAAGTCACATGGAGAGGCCCATGTGGATGAGAACCAAGGCTTCTGGCTACCATCCCAGCTGAGTTTCTCAACTAGCAGCTAGCACTAACAACCAGCCATGTAAGTCAAGCCATTTCAGGCCTTTCAGCCATTCCAGAGGCCTAGCAAACACCATGTGAAGTTGGAAACTTATTCCAGATTTTTGAGAAGTAATAAATTATTGTATTGAGCTACTAGTTTTTAGGGCTTTTTTGGTTGTTTTTTGTTTGTTTGGGTGCAGCAACAGAGCACCCAAACACTGCTTTTGGTATCTAACACAGAAAAGTAACCTCCCCTTTTTTGCCCCCCCCTCAGCTGGGAATCCATGCTCAAACCACCCCACCCTTTAAGGAAGGTGTTCCCTCTTATTTGGTCTGAAACTCTGGAGGGTCTAAGATTTTCCCATACAAACAAGCTTAGAAAACCTAACCTGCCACTATACTCTGACACTGACAGAGTTTCTCTGGGTCAGAAACAAAGGTAGTTAATTATTTACAGCAAAAGCAGCAGCCGGTGCACTATCTTGGATCTGTTACCTCAACCCATCTCCACAGTATGACATGCTCTTTTGCAATGTGACCTTGCATACCTACATCAAGAGGTGGTGTCTGTTCCCCTCTTCTTGAATGTGATCTGGCCCTGTGAACTCATTGGGCTAGTAGGGGGCTAGATGATATCTGCACATACAGTGAGGTACGTCACAAGAGAGGAATTCCAAACTTGGGAACTCTGATCTTCTATAGTACTGCTAATGACCTGCCCATTCTCCCTTCCAAAGAGAGCAATTTCCCTGGAATGCAAGCAAATCTCTTCACTTTTATTACTTTAAATTGGCTCCTAGGAGGGAGACTTCTATAATCTCGACTAGCTGGGAATGTCTCCTTATACAAGTGTTCTTAACTTGGTCATACATTCATTCACTCAGAGATCCTGGAACACGCAGAAACCTGAGATAGACATGGAGAATTGGCTCCCAACACAAGTGACCCAACCTGCTCTTCCCTGCAAGACCCACATCAGGGTCTATTCAGAGTTGTTGGGTTGACCATCCTGCCTTCCCAGGTATCACTTGAGTAGACATATGTTTACCTGTGTGGTAGGAGGCAAGGTGAGGAGTAAGTAGTCAGGCCCATACTGGTGACACCAACACTTAAGAGGCAGGTGAAAAGAGAGAAGCCTTGGAGGAGCCTGAGACATTGACAGAGACAAGGAAAAGAGGATAGAGGGGACCTGAGGACCAACAGAGTAGAGAGTTTTAAAAAGGAAGGAACAGACTTCTAGCCAAGATGGAGGCATAAGTGAACAGGTTTTGCCTCTGCCCACAATTACAACCAAAATTACATCTACCCTACAAAACAAATAACACCCAGATTCATCATAAAATTGAGCTGTATGGAAGTCCAACAACCAAGGATATAAAAAACACACATTATTCCATAGAGGTAGGAGGGACAGAGATGTGGAGGCATGCATAGGCTCGAGGAGGCTTATAGAGATATGGTGAGGTGGCAGAATGGGTCTCACATTTATGTGTGGTGGATAAAAATTGGGAGAGGTACCTCAGGAGGGAGGGATCCCAGCCCCAGACCAGACCAGACCAGACCACACAGCCCAGGATTCCAACACCAGGAAGGTAAGTCCCCATAATTTCTGGCTGCAAAAACCAGAAGAAACTGTGGGACTCTCAAGAGACTGCTCTTAAAGGGCCCAAAACAGACTTAGGACTTACACAGACCTACTCCTTCTGGGATTCAGCACCAGAGCAACAGCTGGAAGGGCACAAGGGGCATATGGGGAGAAAGAGAAGTTACTGGCAAGCAAGCATATGCCAGGAAACAGCTTCCTCCTGGGAAATCTCCAGAAGCAGCGTAATTGTCCCCATTCTGAGCCTTCCTTCACAGAGAGACACAGATCAGTGAAATAGGTTGCTGCACTCTTGCTACTACCTAAGACCTCATATAATTTACAGGTGCCTCTTCTACAATAGGCCACACCATTAAAACAGGGATTCAAAGCAGGTCTATCTAATACATAGAAACAAACACAGGAAGGTTGCCAAATTGAGCAGACAAAGAAATATAGTCCAAATGAAAGAACAGAACAAAACTCCAGAAAAAGAACTAAATGAAATGGAAATAAGCAACCCATCAGATGCACTGTTCCAAATTCTGTTTACCAGGATGCTCAAAGAAATCACTGGGTACTACAACAGTATAAAATAGACCCAGGAAGAAATGAGGGTTGCATTAAGTGAAATAAAGAAAAATCTACAGGGAACCAACAATGGAGGGTATGAAGTTGAGATTTAAATCAATGATTTGGAACATAAGGAAGAAAAACCATTGAAGCAGAACAGCTAGAAGAAAAAAGAATTCAAAAAATAAGAATAGAATAAGGAACCTCTGGAATATCACCAAATGTACAAATATCTGAATCATAGGGGTGCCAGAAGGAGAACAGGAAGAGCAAGATATTGAAAACTTGCTTGAAAAAATAATGAAAGAAAACTTTTCTAATTTGATGAAGGAAATAAACATACCAGTCCAGAAATCACAGAGTCTCAAAAAAGGTGGACCTGAAGAGGACCACATCAAGACTCATAGTTAAAATGTCAAAACTTGAAGAGAGAATCTTAAAAGCAGAAAGAGAAAAGCAGAGAGTTACCTACAAAGGAGCTCCCATAAGGCTGTCAGCTGATTTCTCA